AAAGTGGCAATATTGCAACCTTAATTTAGCCTATAGTCTTTCCTAATTTTGTCTTGGTGTTTATCTCTAATTAATGTGCTATTGTCTCCTTTATATGTTGGTATTTTTGATACACTCATAATAAAGCAAATTTCACTTAAAAAAGAAGATCTCTTACAGGTAGAATTTTTTGTTTTTCTTTTAAAAGTAATGTATCTCTCCACTAATCTATTTTAACGTGTTGCTGATCTTTCACATGGAACACACTAGGTGTCCAATATGTATTTGCATCTAGAAATATGAACAAATGGTATAAATTTATCCAGGGTAAAATAGCCAGGCAGCAGAAGAATGCATATAAACAGAGCCATCTTAATGCTGAGCCCACAGCCTTTGCAATGGCTCTGAAGCATCAGGAACAGATGCAATCAGCAGACGGTTCAAATCACTACAGACATCTAGAAAGACCAAACTGAATACTGCCCTGATTCTTTCTGATGCTATTATACAAATTTAAAACCAACTTTTAATTTTTTAGAATGTGTTATTCAAAACTGAATGAAGAAAATAAAGGAAATAAATTGTTGAGAAGAGCTTAAGGGTATCTGGCAAGGAAACCCAATGGTTAGGAAACACTGCTCTGAAGGGTAGCATCATAGAGTATGAATCAGATTTCAATATGGTTATCACAAAAGAGCATTGTTCATAAAATATACTGTAATTACTTTTACATATTCTAAATGCCCAGGTCTGCTTTTATTGGAATATAATTAACATCTGAAATGGTTATCACAAAAGAGCATTGTTCATAAAATATACTGTAATTACTTTTAATATTCTAAATGCCCAGCTCTGCTTTTATTGGAATATAATTAACATCTGAATATGGACTAATAGAAATTATAGCTATGCTATGTTGGAATTTCAAAATATGACCTTCCTCATAACTAAATTTCTTCCATGAAATAATCAAAACTCATGTAAATCAAAAATTTACATGAAAATTACACTAAAATTTTAAAGGAATGAATGTGTGAAACTGAAGTGAAGATTATGTCCTTCCATTCTAGCTGACAGGTAAGGATTGTGCCATGCTCTAGCCATGCTAAACTTAGTAGTACATAGCAACCCAGATTAGAGCTAACACCTCCCATTACCAGCAGGATAAAAGAAATGATGCGCAAGGCAGAAATAATAGCATCCTTGTTTTACTAGCACATAATACACTATACATAATTTGCTGTCATCTTAAGCAACCAACACTTACAAGCATTGCAATGATTGAATCCCAGCTACAGCTGACCTCCCACTCACCTCAATGACACCAGGTTGAAACTGTGCCCTGAGTAACTGCTCTACAGAGGACATACTAAAATTTGTCAATTCTGCCTCAAGAAAGCAGTGAATGCTGGGAAAACTTAGCTCCAAGTTCTAAATAATTAAATTCCACATGATTATTTTAAACACTATGCAAGATAACAAAATGTTCTGGCATCATCCTTCCCTATGTATGGAGTGGCAAACAAGAGACTCTCTTAGAAATGGTGGAAGGCAAGGGCTCACACACAAGGCTGTCCTCTGACCTCCACACTCATTCTATGGAACATACCAGACCATACTCACATACATTGACATAGGAACACATGATTACTTTCTTTCTATCCTATGGAATTTATTTTACCTTGCAGGCCTTTAAGTCTGGGGTAGTTTCATATCTGTTATGTGGGTGCTGGAAACCCAAAAGTGGTCCTTCCCAAGAGCAGTGAGGGCTCCTAACTCCCGAGCCACTGCTCTCACTCCCAACCAATGACTCTGAGAGCAACTAGTATGAGTAGGTCACGGAAGAGGCAGCCCATAGCAGTGGCACTTTGGGGGCAACTCACCTGGTCTAGAGGAACATGATTCACCAGTCCACTGATGACTGTCCTTGGGGCTGCCTCCCCCACATCCACTTCTTCTACATACAGTGAGTCTGCATCCGGGTGCTTTTTGACAGTAACAATACGACCAATTCGAAGATCCAGACGAGAAACATCTACTGGCTTCGAGTCAGCACTTGGTGCTGCTGACTGCAGTTTCTTCTCCTTTTTCTCTCCTAAGGATTGAGAATATGTAAGCAACAGAAGTAAGACAAACAAACAAAAAACACCAGGAGAACCTCTGGTACTAGTGCTGATGAGTTCAGGGGAAAAAAAAAAAGATCATTCATTTCTATTACAAAGGATACTCGTCATAAAATCTACACAACTTTAGCTATTTCTCTAAATACTGTATTCTAAAAAAAAAAAAAATAGCACATATTTTGATCATTCTATTTTATCATCATCACTGTTAATATCTTATGGTGTCAAATTTCTAAGCTAACCTATAGATAAAGGGGTAGTACTACCGTATAACAAGCAGATGTTAACACAGAGGCATAGATATACAAGGAACACAGAGGCACGAAAAATAATCCTGCATGGCACAAAAGATGTTCACCATTTATACAGGTAGTTTACATATGGATGTAAAAGAGACAGAGCTAGTTTACATATGGATGGTTTTTAATCTTACCTTTCCCGTTATGGATCAGCAAAGATTTTTATAATAAAATGAACAGATACATATTAGAAAAAGATCAAAATCATGTTGTCTTTGTGGGATAAATCATAATAAGTCACTATACTGCATTATAAACTATAACAATATATCTATATCTACATATTTTATTTATGCTCAATAGCCATATTTAGATTTTGGCTACCCTGCTGAACAGTGTAGATACAGTACATCACTGCCATCACAGAAAAATTCACTAGTCAGAAGTGTTCTGAACGCAGCCCAATTGAGTTTTGTGTTATTGGCCTCTAAGACTGCTGCCTAAACTGACTGGAAGTGGGTTAGTCACAACATCAGATTGACTTGGATAACAGAGTAACGAGCAAACAAAATCTGTAAGATCAAGCCATAGAATTATTTTGCATCTCTGTGCTGACTGGCTTTCACTGGCCCTAATGACAAAGTCTA